GCTGTCGTTTAGGAATCGTGCAAGTCAATCCTTTTGTTTGCCAGCGAAAGTAAGCAATGCTTGCACATTGATGGTGAGGGGTTATGGCATGCTTTTTTCCTTTGCGGTAGACTGTTTAATTAAAACAGACCTCATGTGTACGTGAAGGTATTTTGTCCCTTTGTCGGAAGCTATGCCGCGTGTGCTTTCTGTCATTGGGTTTTAAATTTTTGTCATACGAGGGGGTTTGCTTTTTGAATTGCATTTGATCAATTGAATTTCATTGACAATGTGTTTCGTTTATGTCATCTGCTTTCATGGTTCTTGTGTTTCGTTGCGTCGTTGATTTATTCGTTCCACCGATCTAAAAAGAGTCGTCGAGAATCGAGCATGTTTTATGAGTTTCCGCCAAATAGTGTTTCCATCAAATTGCTGGTTTGTTCCATTTTTGTGGATTGATTGAAATATTCACATATACGTCTCGTTTGTGTGATGTGCTTTTGTCGTTTTTGTCTTCCTTCAACATTGTTGAAATCCGTGGGCGGTCGTGTTGAACTGGATCGTCGCAGTCACATGTGCTTTGGTGATTACATCATCTAAAAAACCTAGTTTCGTATTCACGCGCTCACATGAACGATTTCCACGACAGCGAAAATGTTTGTCGACAGACCAATGCGTTTCCATATAAGAAAAAAAACAAAAAACAACATGGGACAAAAAAATTACCTCTTCCTCTACATGTTTTGTATTCGTGGGTGAGGGGTGTAGGAGGCGAAACAAAAACAAACAAAAAACAGAGGGTGTGCACATTTGGGTGCGGGGATGTGATGTTTTTTGTTTCCTCCCCCCCCCTCCATTGCAAGATAATAAAGTAGAGAGAAATGAAGGAAGGACAAACAAAGGAACGAATGACGACCCGTGTCCACACAGAGTTCACACAAGAAAAACCATAACGATCTCGGAAATTCATGATTGAAAACGACGACAATCAATCCAAACCCTTAATATGATCGTCGCTGCATCTGACCTGTACAAGTCGTTCCGCTTTGATTACCGTGCTGTCCGACATGGATGGCCTCATAAAGTCGGCCATTCATTTGGAACTTGTACCCTTTCTCGGCTCCTTCTTTCGGCGTTAGCGTGAAGATTGCAACCCGGACTCCTTCTCCCTCCATTGCACCTTCTTGTACTAGGATAACATATTTTCCCATCTCTTCATGCACACATCCCAATCACGGGTCACCCCCAACACCCCCATCTTGTTCGTGATGTCAGTCCATTTCCACTGCTTGGTCTTCATCCTCGTGAAGTTATGACCCGCCGCTATAAGAGTCTCGCCCTGCTCCCTCTTGCATCGGACGAGGGAGATTGAGTCATCCAGACTCCATATAATCCTTCCCTCACCGCTCTCACCACCCCCTCCCTTGCCCTTCCCCTTCCCCCGCCCCCTCGGAATTGGTTTCCTCGCCGGCGTTTTCTTCTGACTCTTTGTCGTAGGCCATGGCTCCTCAACGTCGACTTAATCGTCTTCCTCCTCCATGTCGTCTGCTGCCTCTTCCACGATTTCATAGTCTGCGCGCCCACTGCCACTGCCATCCCCGTCACTCCTGGCGTGCATCGTCGACACCTTGGCGATGACGTTGTTTACGACATTGGCTTGCCTACCCTCCGATGATGCCCGAACCCTCGTTGTCGGTCGCGTCACAGTTGGACCTCCATGAATGTTGGTGTTCGTAGCTGCGGCGTCGGCTGCAACCTCGCAGCACCCAACCGCCGACCTTCGTACCCAACCGACGCGTCGCCCTCCGAACGGCTGCCGAGATTGATGATCAGTGTTGTGACGCGGCAGGCCGACCCTCCGAAGACAACTGCAGATTGAGGGGTGGGAACATTCCCTGCCGCTATTCATCCAACAAAAGTAACGTCATTGGCCCCTGCCTCTGTCGGTGATCTCTCACCCACACTCCGCTGTCTGATATGGACTGGGTGGAGCCGTGAGTGAGGTCGAACGTCGATGGAGGCGGCTTCCAATTGTCATCGTCGGGAAGGGGCTGAAGATACGGTGGCAGGTCTGCATAAAGTGATGGATTGTAACGTGGTGTATCCGATGGAAAACACCCCTCGCCGCCACCCCCCAAAACCCTGTACATGAACGTGTCCGCCCCGTCGCCGCCACCCATCCCTCCTTTACACGTCGGACGCGTGCTCAATCTCGTCGCCTTCCGCTTGCGGGGCACACCCCTTGCACACCTTGAAGACCACATGTGCACTATGAGCAGCAGCAGCAATACAAGGAAGAGGACACAAAGCAGCGACAACTTCCTCGCATGGTCCGCCATGCACGTAGCACTACAACGCAGACGGCAAGAATCGACGACGGAGGTTTGCAGAAGCATGTGTGAACACCGGTGCAGGAACCTACAGCAACCGTGCTTGTCTTGTACTGCCATGTGGACCTGTCGCGGTAAAACATCCCTCGCCCAGAACAATCTGTTCCAACGGCTACGTGCAGCTGCAATTCGCAACCAATTTGAATCTTCCCAACCCGATGACGGTGCACCACGCGCTACAACGGTCACAGCGCGTGTGTGCCCCAACGGCCTGCCGGAATCCGCAGCCACCACCTCCCACGGTTCCACTGCTGGCACCCGGTACCGTCATCAGTAGCTGTTGCTGGCTGGACCGCGAAAAGGACAGGCCGTGAACCAGGAACGTGCGACATTAAAAAAAAA